GAGCGGGGGCGTTGGATAGGGAACGCAGTGCCAGCCTACCTTGCGCTTGGCAATCCTCGACGCCACGTGTGGCAGTGCGGGTTTTAGGAGACATTTTCCGTGGCAGTCCCTGGGGGCCCTGGGGTGGTGACTGACTTGGGTTTAGGAAAGAGGCCCTGAGACTGGGGTCAGAGTGAAGATGTCTTGGCCTCTCCTGTTTCCGACCCTGAAGTCTGCTTTCTTCTCTCTTCCTCCTCAACCAGCCTCTGGCGGTCCATTTAAACCCTCATTTAGTTTTGGTCGCTCTCCAAGTGGCTGTCTGCTTCTTATCCCTGTTGGTCTTTCATCCACCGTGGCGGTCTCAGTTTGTATCTGTCTCTGACTCTCTATCCGTTTCTCTCTCTCTCTCTCTCTCTCTCTCTCTCTCTCTCGTGTGTGTGTGTGTGTGTGTGTGTGTGTTCATTCGTTCATCTCTGTCCCCTTCTCCATTAGTTCTCTTCACTGTTGTCTTCTAAGTCTTCATCTTTCTGCCCGTCGTTTCTCTAACTCTAGGTTTCTGCTTTTTTCTTCCTTCCTTTTACAGTCAACCTGCCTATTACAATTTCTAGCTATTCTCTGTTTCACAGTTTTTTAGTCTCTTTTAACCTGTGGGTCTTTGTTTCTGCCTGTTTCTATCCCATTTGCCTACCTCTGACTTTCATACTGTTTGTCATTCTGGCTCTCACTCCCACCCCCATCAAGGCCTTCCACATTCTGAGTGGGCGACACATTTTTCTAGTTCCCAACTCCCCCTTGTCTTTGTCTCTTCCAGGACCTCCCCTGCTGTTCTTAGCCCTACCCAGGTTTCATATGTGTGGAAGGAGGTTGGAGGGCTTTCCCAGGGCTTGGGGGCAGGGCAAGGACCCACCCTCAGGGTCCTGGGAGAGAAGCTGCACCCCTCTGGTCCCCACATTCAAACTTGAGCACTTTGCACTGTGCCAGCCATAGAGCAAGGCTCATCTCATGCTATGATCCATTTTCGAAGCCTCTTAGGGCAATTCAGTGCTAGGGTGCCACAGAGAATAAGATATGTGTGTCCAGCAGGGCATGAAAGGAGGTGCCTGCAGAGAGGCAAGAACCTGGAGGAGGGACTCCCGGCCAGGTGGCAGCTAAGAGGCCAAACAAAACAGGGTCCAAAGAAACCCTGCTATTGTTCCCCATTCTGCCTGGCATTTCCTGCTGAGCGACTCCTCCCCAACGGCTGAAGTCAGTCAGGTGGACTGTTCTTTTCTCCGTGGGGTTTTGAAGCTATGCCCCCAGCAGGGCACTGCAGCTCCAATCAGGATTTTCTTCAGGGCTTGGGGTTCAGATTGGAGAATGGCCATGATCTCCTCAGAGACCTTGAGGCCAGACACCTACCTTCTTTTCTGCAGCACTTAATTTGCCTTCCCTAGGCACATTCCGTCCTTTTCTTCTTCTTCTTTTTTTTCTCCCTTCATCTTCTGTGTCCAGGCAATGTCTTCCTGAGTCCATAGGTCTCGCAATCTATCTTCCTAGAGTGAGCAGGACTCAAGTGTTCCCTGGAGACTGACCCATCACAGGAAGTTCCTGCCTGAGAATTTGAGCCTTCTCTTTCCCAGCTAACAAAGAAAATGAAAAGGTCAAGAACTTGTTCTTTCTGGGAATACAGCTCAGTGGTAGAGCCCTTGCCTAGACTATGTTCAATTCCCAGTGCTGGGGAGGAAACAGGCTAGTTTGGGTCAGTCATGGTAGCTCACATCTTCCATTCCAGTCTTTGGGAGGCAGAGGCAGGAAGATTTCTATGAGTTCAAGTCCAGCCTGGTCTACAGAGTGAGTTATAAGTCAGCCAGAGACTACATAGTGAGACCCTATCTCAAAAACAAACAAAAGAACTAGTTCTTGCCATTTTATGGGTTAAAATATAGGTTGGAATGGTCTCTACTGTGCAAGTGATTTAATTCCAAGCAACCTTGTGAGGAGACCAGTCACTTGCTCAGGCTGGCACAGTGGCCTAGGATAGAGACCACAACTTGCTACACAGACTTGGTCACAGGGAATGGCATTGGTGTGACCAAAGGAGGCCCCATCTGTCAAGCTTCCCCCAGGTGACAGCCGGTTCTGTTTCCAAGGCTTATGTCCAAGGCCTTTCCATCTCTCTACCCATCAGGGTCAGAAATGATGGGAGAGAGTCACTGGCAAAAATACGGGAATGTGGGAAGAGAAAGGAGCCTGTCACCCCAGAGTCTGGGTGGAGACTCTTACCAGCCAAGAACCAAGAATTCCAACACAATTGGCAACATTTGTTTAAGGCCTTTCTCCTTTCCCAACCATAGACCCTTGGTTTATTCTAACCAACTTGTGAAATTGCTGTTGTGTCTCTTGGTGTCTCCTTATCTCATTGTGATCCCACCCAAGACACCTCTGGAACTACTTTATAATCTGTCACAGACAGGAGACTCAGACTAGCTCAGAGTCAATAATTCCAATGCAAAGAACATTTGCTTAAGGCTTCTTCCTTCCCAGTGGTAAACCTGTTAATTTTCTAGGAATCTCACCAGAAACCCCCTTTACAATAAAATAACACATTCTAATCCCTTTGTGCAGCCCTATTGGCTTCTGGTTTTATTTTATCAGATTGTAATCCTATCCAAGGTCCCTCTAGAGCCACTTCCAGAGCCACCCTGAAATCTCATTTATTGAAGAAAAATAGTTTCTTAGCAACCCTTTGAGAGCCGCCAACATGTTATATATGGCTAAGACTTAGACATTTCATTGGGATTCAGAAGCCAATACCTACACACTCAGGTAGTTCTAATTTTTCTTTTAATAAAAGCATCTTTTAATGAACTCCACCTCTGCTTCATATTGGCTTCTCCTGGAGTTCTTTTCTGTGTCAGTGCCAGGGATCTGATTTGAACTAGAGATTAAGGGAACTCCGGCATTTGTGGATGACAATGTGGCCGTGATCCCATTCCTGCCACGGCTGTCATAGGCACTAGATTTTAGAATTGGGGGCTGGAGTGATAGCTCCATGGTTAGGAGCACTGGCTGCTCTTTCAGAGGACCTGGGTTCCATTCCCTGAGCTCACATGGTGGCTCACAATGGTCTGTAACCCAGTCTGAGGGATGTCCTATTCTAGCTGTGCACACACGGTGCACAGACATATATGCAGGCAAAACGTTCATGACACTTAAGGGAAAATAAAAGTAATCATGATAATAATAGTAGTAATTGTCTTTGTGTCTGGCTATGGTGGCACACGCCTTTAGTTCCAGCACTCAGGAGGCAAAGGCAGGCAGATCTCAAAGAAACCCTATCTCAAAGAAAAAATAAAAGAATTGTCTTTGTCCTGTGCACTCAAGGTCCTGATTTTCCTGCTCCAAAATAAGTTCCCTGGGAACTTTTGGGTTGTCTTCCCACTGTGGCAAAGGGGCTAGCTAGCTAGCATCTCTCACAAAAAAGCTCCTCTTCCCTCTCTCCTAATGTAGGGACCTCTGGAAGGAGAGGGCTGGGTGGAAATGTTAGGGACCTGGGATTGTCTGGCATGTGGATTATACTGACCACTTTCTTTTCTTTTTTAAATTTATGTTTTATATTCCAATCCCAGTTTTCCCCTTCCTCCTCCCCCACCACACTTTTCTTCCCCCCACCTCCCATCTGTTCCTTGGAGAGGGTTATACTAACCACCTTTAAATTGTGGAAGAGAGAAAGCATTTATTGACAAATGAGCATTTATTGTTTACTCTCTGCAGAACACTGTGTTAGATAAGGCCAACAGGGAAAGATGGTAAGAGAATGCCTCCAAACTGGCTACACTGTGCCTGAGAGGCATGGTATACATACAGGATCACAGCTTAAAGATACAAACATCAAAGCAACTTTGGGAGGGATGAAGTTATTCTGCACAAAGTGGGAAAAAAGGAAGGATGCCCCTAGGACAGCTGTGTGTCTCCATAGCTTGTGGACCTGGAAGTCTGTCTACCTGCCTCCATGCTGTCCTGTGTCTGTCTAGTTTGGGTGTGTCTGACCTCCACCTTCTTGACTGGGTGTTCTTCAAGGGCAGGAACCACCCATGAGTCCTTGTGTCATTTCCTCCTGACCCCATCACCGCCCTCTTCAAAGCTCTCTGTCCACTACATGACAGGGACTTGGACTGGGATGAACCAGCCCAGCTGAGTGTTCTGGTTTCTGTTAGGGGTTCTCAGGAAGGACCTAGGGCTTGCCTCAGTGGGAAAATATGCTATTTTGTGTAAGACAGCCTGGGTTCAAGTCTTGGCTCTGCTGTGTTTTAGCTGTGTGTCTTTGGGCCAGCCTTTAGGGCCTCAGTTTCAGGATCAAATGGGAAAAGAAGCTTTTGTTCTGCCTATCTCATAAAGTTGGAATGTTAAGGAATTTGTTTGGAAATTGTAAAGCCTTACATGGCTGGGGGCTATGACCTTTCCTGAACC